CACTCATCTAAAGGGATGGAAGAACACCAGCAAAGGTTCCCCAGATTATCACCCAAACTCACGGCCACTCTCTGAGGGCAGACAGAACTAAATCTGAGGGTGAGGGCAGCGTAACACTTGCTCAGACTAGCAGAGAACCCTGGTAGAGGTTCCCTTGTTCTGGAGTCATGACACAGCAGCTCCTACTAATGGCCTACGTTCTCATCACGGCTGACCCCCTGGTGCTGGTGAGAAGCCCCTGAAGCACAAGGGCTGGCCCTAATGACTAACCCGGTGAGGTCTTCACTAATATGGAGGGTAGGAACTTCATTACCTGCTTGTGGTTGAGAGTCTGAAACCACCTCAGAGACCCCTCACGGAGAGAAGCCTTTCCATGAATCTCCCGGGGACACTCAGACACGGAGGGGCAAAGGCAAGCAGGTGGGACACATTTATTGTGACAGCAGTTCTACACAGAGTTTAATAAAGCACCCTGAACAAAACTCCCTCTACCTCACGCTCCTAAATGTTAAACTCACAGACCACAATTCCCAGCGCTAACTGGTTAAAGGAATAGCAAAAGGAGAGTGGACGGTTAATCTCATACCGTGAACGTAGCATTTTCTTCTAAGTAAGCACATCTTCTTTTCTATACCATTTTTTCCAAAATTTAACACAGAGAAGCAAAACAAAATAAAATTCATGAACCCGCCATCACAACTAACTAGTTTCACTTTATTATATATGCTTCAGATTTTTAAAATACAATTATTATGAACACAGAGAAAATCTCCTTTGCAGCCCACCCGTTCCCACCCATCCCTTCCTCCCTGGAGGTAACCAATCTCAGAATTGGGTGTAGAGCCTTCTACTCTATAGGTTATACTCCTTCATTGTCCATATACATTCATAAACCAAATATGGTATTGTCTCCTATGTTTTTACAAAGTTTTATGAAGTTATGTGTCACATTGTATACATCCTGATGGCTATTTTTTTCCTTTAACATTGGGTTTTAGAAATCCATTCCTGTAGCTATTTATAGATCTGGTTCATTCACTTTAACTCTCACATTCTAACAAATTTATACCACACTTTAAATATCTGGTCCCCTTGCGAGAGTCATTTAGGTGGTTACTCATTTTTGTTATTACAAACGGTGCTGCAATAAACATCCTAGACAGATCTCCTTGTGCCAGGTTCAAGAGACACTGGGAGGACACACACCTAGGAGTCCAACGCTCGGTTTTATTCGTACTAGGCAATGCCAACTAGTTCTCTAAACCGGTAGTTCCCATGTCTCATTTTCATCACACCTGGACTGTAAGACTATTTAATGTTTGCTAATCTAGTAAGTGCGAAATGATATTTCATAGTCATTTGAATATGCCTGTTTCAAATGGCCAGTGAAGGTAAACATCTTTTCACGTGTTGACTGACGTACTTTCCTCTTCGGCAACACTACCTGGTCAATCAGTCCGCTTTCTAAGACACCACGGAAAAAGACATTTATTGCATGAATGATTTAAATGCGCTGATAGCTCCAGGATCTAATAAATAAGGTTGGGGTTATTAAGCACTTACATTAAAATAATGCGTTCCAGAATACCAGATGCCTGTACCTCAAGCTCAGGTCCACAGTGTCATCATAATTTTGCTGGTGAAACTAATGCTTGTTACAGGTTACATGTTGGCTAATGGATGTTTTAAATTCTGTGCAAATCAAACTACAATCTGTGATTCGTGATCCCTAGGAAGATGAATGAGCTGAGTCTATGGCTAAGAACAAAGAAGTAGGATCCCTTTTCACTTTGTGTCTAAAAGGATCCAAAAACAAAAAATTGTATTCCAACACTCCTCCTCCAGACAGCCTGGCAAAGGAATATACACAGATGCAAACACCAAATAATGATGATGGCGTCAAGTCTGAATCACTATCAGAAAATAGAAACAGAAATAAAGTACATAGAATTATTCATATTTATGTACCACAAATAGCTCTTACCCAAGGGAAGGCACATATATCTGGAGAGTAAGAATTTCTCTAACTGCAAAACAAACTATTACTGCTTGTTCATAAGACAACTGTTTTTACATAAGGCAATTATTTTTTCCTTTAAGCTTTTAACTCCTGTATTTTTAAACTGCACAGCACTATTATGAGGGGCATTTGCATCTTATCATACGAAGAGAAATCTACAAAATCTGCCTCTGTTCTTTTCATATCTGAAAGCTGACCATTACAGAGATTCCAAAGATTGTGGTTTGCAAGGAGTGTGAAGATGAGTCTCCTAGCTAAAGGAAACTGGATATTGACATAACTTTTGATGGGCCACATGATGCTATCAATAATTCAAGAAAAAAGCTAACCTAAAGACCTTTAAGAGCTAACCTAAAGACCTTAAAGAGTTTGTAACGTGGTTTTGTCCTTTTAGTTTGCACTTGGATATGTTCGAAGGAAAGGGAGTTAAACCATTAAAAATAATACTAATGGCCCCAGAAGGAAGAAAACTCAAGAGGATATAAACTTGCTATCTCTGTTCCTCTGGTTCTGTGTTTCTCAGCTGGGGATGGTCATTACCAAACCACAGATGCAGGAAAGGCTCCTGCCGTAGCAGAAACTCTCTGTCTGGCAGTCTGATCCACAACGTGCAGCGCTCTCAGGCAGGGCTCCCTCTCCCTGGCAGGGCTGCTGCACAGGTGGTCTCTACGTTCCTTGGGCAACAGGAGACCAGGGTTTTGGGTTTTATTTTTTATTTTTTTAAGACTTTATTTTTTAAAGTCCTTGACACCCAACATGGGGCTCGAACGCACAACACCAAGATCAACGTTCCACCAACTGAACCAATCAGGCATCCCAGGGTTTTTGGGTTTTGAAGCAAACATCAACCTCCCATCTAAGCCTACTCTGAAAAGGGCTTCTTAACTTTTTTCTCTGTTGGAAGAAGCAACCTCCACAAGATGGTGAAAGCATCATGTTACAACTGTGTAATGGGGCTCCCAGACTCCTACTCCACAGGCCAACCCTCACCAAAACCATCTCCAACAACAGACTTGGTAGAGAGATCTTTGGTGACCATTCACTCTCACATCCAGGATAGCTCTAGGTGACCCCAGGACCATGTGGATTACATATCTTAAAGGGTGGTTAAGTCCTCAGAAACAGGTACCGCTGGGAAGGACTCACTTCTGCCGAGAGAGACGCACCTATTCTGTTGGGACAGACAACGACAGGGCACCTTCCAGCTCACACGTAAAGATAAAGCCACTCATTCCCAACACTCTTAAGACCTGGTTCTTTGATGGCAAATACTGACCACATGTCAGACAGGCATCAGTGAACAGTCATGTTTCCAGGTTTCGAGTTCTTTGGTACAACACTAACCAACTGGGTCAGCCATAAAGAAACAAAGTGAGGGAAACAACGGGTCCTGAGCCCAGATCAGTAGCCTTTTTAGTGCTGCACACCCTCAAGGTAAACTTATTTTCTGTAGGCCTATTAATGACAGCAGTCAGAGTGTAGGGATAGGGGCAGGGATGGCACTGTTCGGAAAAGGAGTCCTGTGCTGGGAATTCTTGCTTAGAAGAGGAAAGAAAAAGAATTTTCTCAAAGAAAAAGTATTATAAATGAACAACAGGCATCTCTGATACAATTCTATTTTCTAGGTATTGAATATTCTTTTGTGATTCAGGAAAATAGTTTTTCTCCTGCAGGAAAATTACTTTTAAAGCTGAAAGAATGAACTTAAAGGAACTTCAGAATATTGCATATTTGTGAACTGAGAACTTGCTTTGCTAGAAAAAGGACACATACCATCTATCTGTCCATCATTGGAACAGCTCTTCTGGCTGGTGATAGAACCAACTAAACTTGTAAACATTTTAACAGGAAACAGAATCAGTAAGACAATCTGTACCTTCCCCCACACCCCTATCTGCCTGTTGAGCGTTGCCTTATGCCAGGTTTAAGCAACTGGCTGGCGGAGTGGTGGTTAGACTCAGGACTTCCTGGTACTTTCCCTAGAATAATTATCATCACAGGGTCATTGTACTTATTTACCTGTCCACCTCCCTCAGCGCCTAGAAGGCAAGCTTCACCGGAAAGGGGCTTCCATTCGTCCATCACTGTAGTCCCTGCTAAGCACATAGTAGGTAGGCACTCACTAAATATGTGTTGACTAAAGGAGTAGTACAATGACTGACTCCCAGCAGACTGTAATAAAGAATTTGTGAATGAACTGCTTTTAGAATATTGGGAGCAGTAATTGATGTTAAATGGGCCATTTAGATGGGCAAAGAAGGAGTAACTCTTGCCTGGCAAAGTGTATCTATAGTGACCTTGAGCATACGAAACCCGCATTTTTAGGCTGGGTGGGAAAGCAGTCCAAGACTTCTGTACAATGAAGAACGGTGTAAAATGGCATTATTCAACTTAGAAAAGTCTCCGCCCGAGGTTGGCCTCTGGGCAGAATGACCCATCAGAACTTAAAGCGGAGAGGAAGCAAGGCTCTGCACGGAAAGCATCCGGCCATGAAGCCCCCCTCGAATCCAGATACCCAGACCTGAAGGAGGCCGCTCCAGACCAGACCTTCGCGAGCCTGTGATCAGAGCTCTCTCTGTGCTCCAGATTCCAAGGTGACGTAGCCACAGGTGAGAAACAACTCCCTCGCGCATTCACGGTGCAGTCCAGATGACGGCGGAACTGGGCATCATCTCTTCCCCAGCTCAAGTGCTGAAGTACACCCCCTCATCCTTCTCCCTCTTCTTCTCCCACTCGAGGCGGCGGGATGGGTGGGCCTGGCGGAACCGCCCAAGGGGGCAGGCTCTGAGGCTTGGGCGGGCACCGCAGGCCAGGCCCGCCCGCGACCTTGGCGGGCGGCGGCCCAGGCCAGCCCTCGAGCGGGGCGGATGGGACTCGCGGCCCCTCGGGGTTTGCGGGGACGCGGCGGGGGGGCGGGGAGGATGGTCTGCGGGAGGCGGGGAAGCGGGGCGCTGGAGGTGGGGAGCGGCGGGGGACTCACCTGCAGCAGCACTGCCAGCAGGAAGCACAAGTACATCTGGTAGATGCCCATCTCCCCCACCGCCTGGAACGCCTCTTCCACCTCCATAGCGGGCCTAGCCCGGCGGCCCCGGCTCGGCCCGGCCGAGCCGAGCGCGAGCGGGAGAGGGGTCAGAGCCGGAAAGGGGCGGGGGCGGGGGCGGGAGCGTTCGGGCGGGCGGGGCGGGGCGGGGCAGCGCGTCTGCGCGGGCGGGGCGCGGCCCTAGCTGTACAGGGCCGCGGGGCTCTCTGGTGGGGATCCGGGTCCGAGTGGGCTGGCTGGGCGCGCCGCTCTCGGGGCGAGGGAAGAGGAAGTGGGCTCGGGGTGAGGCATCCTCGTGGATGGAGAAACACGGAAACAGCGCCAGTTGGCACCCAAGCCCTCTTGGGGCGGGGGCGCGATAACTGGGCGACCTGGGGGCGGCCCTGCATTGTTTGTCCTGTTGCCCACATCGGGGGGTTTGGGGGCGTTCTGGAGCCTTCAGGGAAGAGTGCTGGTCAGGCTTTGTTTGCAGTCCTACTCTGTGCTAGCTTTGTAGAGGTCACCGGTAAACAAATTCTTGCAAAGCCGCGAGATTCATTTGCAAACAGAAATAGGCAGGAGGGAAAAAGGAAGTACAAAAGAGCGAAGGTGAAGGTGTCGGACAGGAGGCGATGGATGCCAAGGTGTTTGAAGGATGAGCAGCATTGGCGAGGCAGGGCAGAGTGACCGGTCGCCTGCCTTAAGTCCCCTCATTCCCGCACCTCCTGAGCTTGGTTTTAACAGCTGCTTACTATTCCCTAGTCGGAGCCATGACCCCCAACACACTGTGGACTGAAGAGGTGACCAACTAATGTTTTATTTAGGCTTTCACATCTCAGAGAGTGAGATAGGCCTGCGGTTTTCTTTTCTTCCTACTGTCCTCGTCTATATTTGGCAGGAAGCTCACAGTGGTTTCCCGAAACCGGGTGGAAGTGTCTGATAAACCTCTCCTTGAAGCCATCTGGATTGGCTAGTTTTGCACGGTGATCCCTTTTTTTACAGAGGTAGAAGGAGATACTACCTAAATTTTTATGGCTTTCTTTCTTTCTTTAAATCAGTTTTTTTTTTCTAAAAATGTTTCTACTCTATCGACTGTTACTCCTGTTCTGTAATAAACTTGTTCAGCTTGTTCTCTTAAGGTTTTATAAAATCATGCTCTGGCTCTATTTATGCCCTATTTTTCATTGTTAACATCGTTTATTGTTTATTTTTCACTCTTATCAGTCATGCTACAGATTTATCTTTAAAAAAAAAAAAAAAAAGACCCAATTTTTATTTTGCGGTTTTTCTTCTTGTATTTGTTTTCTATTTTGTGGATTATGTGAATTCTTTTTCTCCTTACTTTTGTTACTGTATAATTCCTTTATTAGCTACATTACTTGAAAGTTTAGCTTATTTGCTTTTATTTTTACTTTTTTAAAAGAATAATTGTATTTCAGGTTATGCATTTCTCTTTGTTCTGATCTACAAGTGTTGTCATGTGGTTTTGTTGCTTTTAGTTTGGAATATTCCATTCCATGCACTGTCCTCTTTAAACCAATGAACTATTTGTTAAGTTTTTCTGTTTCTCTCTCTTTCCCTCCCTCCCTTCCCCCCTCCCTTTCTTTCTCTTTCTTTTGTTTCCAAGTAAATGTTATTGCTATTTTTTAACAATCCTTTTATTGCTGATTACTAATTTAAGTATTTAAATGCTTTTTGAACAGAGATGATATTAAATCTTGCAAATTGTTTGAGGTTTCTTGTGACCAAGTATGCAGTCATTTTAGAAAAATGGACTGAGTATTGAAAATATTCTCCATGTGTTTGGGTGTAAGGTTCTCTATAAATTAGATCAAGCTCGTTGGTAGTATTCAAATAATGTGTATTACCACTGGATATATCAATTTTTAATAAATGTGTCAAAATCTTCTGAAGTGTTTATCATTTTTGAGTTTTTATCAAGGTCTTTTTATTTCTGTGGGTTCATAAAAGTACCAGTTGAATCGTTCCTTTTATCATGATAAAATAGCTCTTTTTTTAATGCTTTTTGTCTTGATTTTTATTTTGTCTAATGTTAATATTGCTGCATCCAAGGTTTTTTGGTATTATTTTTCTTGTAATTTTTATTTTCATCCTTTTTTGTTCATTATGGTCTAGGCATGTTTATGGAAGGAGGGTCTCTTTGTCCATCCAATTTGATAGTCTTTGTCTTTTAACATGTGAGTTAAATCCATTTATACTTATTGTGAGTGATATATGTGGAATTATTTCTACCATTTCATTTTCTGTTTTCTGTTTTCCATCATCTTTTTTTCCCCCTTCTTGGCAATCTGTTGGAGTCCGAAAGCCATTTTCATCCTGCCCTTTTCTCGTTTTGCTATTTTGGGGACCTACACCATCATCATGATGATGATTGTACCATCATCATCATCATCATCATTATTATTTCGGTAGTTACACCTATATTTTTAACATCTACATGACCGTACACTCTTCTACAACGTTCATTGTTATTTAAAATTACCTCTATTCTCTTTTCAAACTCATAGGAAACTACAAAAGATTCTGAAGGGATGCAGAACAAGTCTCCCCAAAATATGTCCCTTCCGCATGTTCACTCTTTTTAGCAGAAGGCAGTAGAGGCACAGCAGACTCAAGATTCCTCTCCTTTAAACTACCTAAAAGAATCTAGATTGGAGGCCTATCCCAGAAAGAGAATGATTACTAAAGATAACTTTTTAATCTGAAAGACTTATCTGTATGGCAGGATAAACACCTAATTACCAAACATTTGCTCTTCTTACTGTCCTATGAATTACCCTTTACCCCTTTGAAATCCCAGGCCCCTATCCCATTCTTCAGTTCAGGATAGCATATAAGCTCCAAATGCTCAGCTTGTCCTTGGATATCATGTTCATATTCCCTGTATGAAAAAAATTAAATGTTTTTCTCCTGTTAATCTACCTTATGTTATTAGACAAGCCAAAGAACTTAGAATGGTTAAAGGAAAATGTTTTCTCCCCAAAAATTCCAAGAAAGCTTTATCTGAGAAAACATAAGAGGACATAAAGATGTTATATTCTGGAAAACTTTGTTAGGTGACTCAAGAAGTTACTGTTGTGGTGTTAAACCGTTGATGGAGAAAATTTGAAGTGTTTTATTTAAAAACTTCTATTGTTAAGAAAAATTAGCCTGCACTTGGAAATAATAAGAAAGTAAGAAGAAGACTATGTGTGCTTCTAATGTAGTAATGAAGCATTATTTAACGGCCAACCCCACAGTTATTTAATACTCTAAGAGAATTTACCTGTGGTTAACTTTGTGTTTACTACAAATTAGAGTCCAGATACTCTGCAGTTCCATGTAAATTTTTGTTTGGTAGAGATGTAAAGATTATGTTCAATAGAAAAGACAACCTATTATTTCATTACCCTATAAAACATTCACTTGTTTTGTACAAATCTAGAAATCCCATTTTAACATACTTATTTTTTTCTAGAAATTACCAGTGCCTCAAATTACCTGTGCCTCAAAGGTGTTCTTAGCACCAGCTTTTCCAGAGTACTGGTTCTTTCATTAGTTAAAATAAAATCTTTGACATGGGTTCATTCTCTATTGGTAAGGGAGTCACAGTTTAACTTTTGAAAATTTTTCTTTGACATTATGATGTACGGGGAATGAAAAATTATAAATTAATACTCATATGATATATAGCTAACTTAAATTGTTAAGTAGAAATTGGGTTAGTTTAGTTTATCTTCTTAAAAGTTTATATATTAATTCATCTTATATTAGATGTATATGGACATATATGCTAAAAGCAGTTGGGAAGCATGAGAACAGAAAGTATAACCTGTGGATTGTCAGAAATAAGATCTGATGGCTTGATGGAGGCCAAGTATGCACTGCTAAGGAGCTTGAACTTTCTCTTACAGGTTATAGGGAGCCACCGAAGTGTTTGAAGCTAGAGTGGTATGATTTTTAAAGATGACTTGACAGCAGTGTTAAAAGCATGTAACACCAGTTGAAACACTGCTGTAATGACCCAAGCAAGAACCAAATGAGGACCTGAGGGCTTAAACCAGAACAATAATAATAAAGATGGAGAAGTGAGGTCAAATTTAAAGTAAAATTTCAAAAATTGATAGTGACTGCATTTTGCACAGGCAAAAGAGAGAGAAATCAGAAGCGACTCCTGTGTTTCTGACCTTGATGACTCGGAAGATGGAGGTACTCTTAACTGAGGTAAGGAACACAGAGGTTGGAGTAGATTGGTAGTGGTGGGTTGCAGAGCCTAGGACAGGAATGGTGGCCCCGACTGACGTTGCTCTTTTAAATGGTCGTTGCCCCTTTAAGATCCTGCCCTTCCCCCTTAGCCCACCCAGGCCCCTGCCGGATTTCCTTGCCCTAATTTACAGTCAGCACCAAAGCTTCTGAGCATGCGCTGAAGAAAGAGCTGGACTAATTAAAGCTCTCCTGAGGCTCAAGGTATTGCATCTGTGGCTCTCAGCAAAGAGTTCCATTTTGAGAGTGTATTTTCCCCATCTGACTATTCTTTTCTTATTTTTCTTAAGCCCTTTCCTACCATAATTTTATAGTACCTGAATTTTTCCTTTATCAGGAGTGATGAGCATTGTGGGTTTTTTTTTAATAATAAAAAATTAAAATAATGTTTAGAATAGGGTGTCTGTCAATACACACTTTGGGGGATTTGAGGAGAAACGCGGTAAACTTTATCTGGTAAATTATATAACGCTTTGAGCAAAAAGACTCAATCTTTATAATCTTTCTAAATTATTCTAAAAGCTGCACACCTACCCACTGTATCATGTCTTCTGCTCTATTGGTAATTTGGTGTGCAAGATAGGACTTCATGCATGTCAAGTGTTGTTTCAAGTCCTGGGAAATCAGTGTCGTAGATCCGCCTAAATATACCGAGAATTACTTTCTTCCTTAAAAATCCAAAGAATATTTTCCCTTCTGCATAAACCTTCATACTGTGATAACCCTTCATTGTTAGTACTTCACGGCAACATACCTTCATAAAGGTAACCGAAGTACAAATACCTCTATCAACATTAAGTT